TACAAAAATGAGTTCCAGGCCAGCCTGAACTGTGAAGTGAGACCCTTTAAAAAAAAAAAAAAAAAAAAGTTGATTCAACGGTCACACCCAAGGCAGTCTTCACACATATTCCATACATGTACATGTTCATACACAAGCTATTGTTGTAGGTCTTTGTGACGCTGTGTTTGTCTATCCCCTGTCAGCTCACCAGTGTGCTCAACAATTTTTTGTAGAGTGGGCAGGAGCATTTTGTTTTGCCTCTGCTGGAAATGTAAATGATCTCTTATGATCTCCCATCCCAATCCTCTAAGAAAATTTTTCTGTGATGTTTTGCATTTGTTATTTTCTTTTTTTTATATCACAAATAGAACTTCATCACTATTAAAAATCTGAATCTTAAACAGACTCTTGGACTAGTGGTTCATATCCATCAGCTCATGTTGAATTGTTGCAGTCCCATTTCCAGTAGCCTTTCGAGAGCTACTACCTTCACCATGAAGCTCTATGAGTTTTCCCAATTCAAACTTGGGCTTCTTCAACAGTTTTACTTTTCTGACAAAGATTTCCATCATTTTCATCTGGCTTTGGCAGGCCTGTTGGTGCTGAGCATAAGAGGTCTTGTGTATCTGATTGTTGAGTTTTTCAGTAAAGCCAACACAGAACGAACAAAAAAAATAACCATCGGTAGTCTTGACATCACCATGAACTTTTATCATGGTCAGCCATCTTTTGACCTTGGAACACATTTTGTCACAGAACAGATCCATGCCATGAAAGTTAGTCAGGCAGTTTTTGCCCTGAAAATCTTCAGTAATTGGCTTGAATTTTCTAAAGGCAACTTCATTCTGCAGATCAGTAAGGCTCATTTCAAATATACTTTGAGCCCTAAAGATGTGATTTTTGTTCCTTGAGTTCTGGTGATGAGTGTTTTTCCAATATTTCTCATGTTGAACATAGCTGGTGCCTTCACATCATACAAGTCTTTGTGTGTGTGTGTGTGTGTGTGTGTGTGTGTGTGTGTGTATTTAGGACAGGGTCTACGGGGTGTCACTGTGTAGATTGGATTCATGGTGATCCTCCTGTTTACAGCCTCCCAAGTGCTGGGATTACAGGCACACACCTCGTCCAGTCTCAATCGCTGTCTCAACTCCTGGCCCCTGCATCTGCCTAAGCAGGTGCTTTAATCCGCTGAGCTACTTGGCTGGCCCTTACCAGTCTTTTTTAGAAAATGAATCAACCACTTTCTTTTTGGCGCCCTTTTTGCTGCCTTTTGTAAGGTTTTTGTTCTTTCCTACTGATGTGGTGCTGCTCAGAGCACTTATTATTTTCTTTGTAAGCTATCAAACTTTTTTTGTAAATTATCAAACTATCACACGTGTTTAAGATTGAGTGAAACACAACCATTGGCTAATGCTTTGTGTTTCAAGTGACATCATAGTTGCTGCATAATTCATCAACATTTACTCCATCTTCAGTTTTGTTGTAGAAAGTTTCCGTCTGAGGCTCTTGCTTTGTCAAAGTTTCCTTATCAATATTTCCATCATGGGAAATGTCGACATCAGTAGTATCAGTTTGTTTTTCTTTGCTGTGTGTGAGGCCAATGTTATATCTTTCTGAAATTCAAAGATCACACTAGAAAATTCTCTGATTTGAAATTTTAACATTTCATCTGGAATTTCTTCTTTGTTCCTGTATACAGTTTCTGCACTGGGGAACTTGTGCTCCATTAGCAAATGTAACATCAATTGGAAACTGGTAAGCCAATTGTTGAATATCACATTCTGATTAATTTGGGCAATTAAAGCAACAAATATCTTTACAACATCATTTGGTTTATTACTATATGAATAATAACCTGATGGCTGAGTTCCAAGATAAATATCTAAATTGAAAGCATAATAAATCTTCACATCTATGAAGGTACACATTTTTATGGCATATTTGCACCCATTGCTTTTCAATAAGTCTTTTACATTCCTTCAATCACCATAAGAAATCCATGGTAAGTACAGCAGACCTATGAATGCTTTCTGTTCAGC